CCCATTTCTGTGTTCATACAGTGACCAGAACTTTGTCCTTACAAATTTTGATTTGGGTCACTATGTGATGCATGTTTCCATTCATTTATTCCTTCATCACATGTTTACTGTGATGCGCCCAAGCACTATACTAAGTGCTTTAGTTAGGTCCAAAGATTCCTTAATTGCAGGACTTCAAGTTTTAATCTATTAACAATTATAAAATAATACTACAATTTTTTGAACACCTTGCTAATTTTTTCAGAAAAGTACCTTATATATAAATTACCTCTTTTGATTTTTTACAATAATGCCATTTGGTAAGTACTGTGTTGTAGGGAAAGTAATGGTCAGGGCCCCTCAGATGTTCAGAATCTTGCTGAGCATTTGATGTAAATATGCACATGCACCCAGGTGTTCCTTGGTTATTGTCTAATGTAATTGCAAATGTGCACCCAGGTGTCCTGGGTTATGGACTTAAGTGTAAAGGATGAGTGGCTCTGATCCACAGTACTCCCCGCCCCCCCACCAGGGTTGCTCCTGGGGGGAGGGGCGGGCCACAGGGGTGGGCCACTACTGCTGCTGGTGCCAACCAGGATGAGGCCACCACCACTGCTGCTACTGCTGCTACTGCCGCAGACTGAGCTCGTGTCATCTGCCAACGGCTCCTGGGATCTTTCCCAATTACCTAGCACAGACCTGCATGTGAGGGGTCCGTGACCCAGTCTGTACAACGGGTTTGAAGGGTCTGTGAGCCCTAAGCCCTAGCCCTGACAATACAAATGGAAACTTAGCATAACTAAAATAATGAAACGTTTTGGCTTTAGTTATGAATTGCCTAGCCATACAACTGGCATAGTCACGTAGATTTCTAATTGGCTACAATGGCAGGATTCTGACAATAAAATAATCCCAACCAGACAACTAGTGTAGCTATTGCTGTAGCAATACATGTGGTTATTCATCCTTCTAAGACAAAGAAACCAAGGTTCAGAGAAGTTGTACAACTTGTCTGAGTCATACTGGTGGTAAGTAATGGAGCCAGGTTTTGAAGCCAGGTAATCTGATTGCAAAGTCTGATCTCTGCACTAATACAAGTACAATTGCCCTCCCCCATTTAATATGGCCCACCTGAAGGATATCTGCATGTTTAACTTAGATATCAAACCTATCAGTCACCTGGCATGAACAATCCTATCATCAGAAGTTAAGTCCTCCACAAACCAGCTGGATCCCACCTGCTAGGGTGGAACTCGAAGGACCTTTGGAGCCAGATAGGCTTAGGTCTGAATTTCAGGCTGCTTCTTAGTTAGCTCTGTTTTCTTGAGAAAGTAAATAATCTCTCTGAGCCTTAGTTTCTTTATTTCTAAAATAATAATAAATATTATCAAAGCACTTATGATGGGCCAGATACTGTTCTAAGTACTTAACATTAATTCACAACTCTGATGTTCACACTGAGATGAGGAAACCGAGGCATGGAAAGCTTAAAGGTCAAGTAATTTGAAGTCAATGGCAAAGCTAGGGTTTGGACCCAGGCAGTGTATTTCTAAAATCCATGCTGTTAACTACGATGCTGTGCTGTGCTGCTCCTGGAGATGACAGGATCAAGGGTGTAAAAACCTCTGGTCTGGAGCCAGGCACGCAATTGGTGAGACTGTTACAGGGCTTAGAAGAAGAAAGTTTTACAGTTCTGACCACCCACAAAAAGAAGCACCAATTTGTGGCGAGTGTTCTGATTTTGATCTTATACCAAAGCCTTCTTATGTCTTTGCCTTTGAACTTTCAGGACCTGCTGGCTGAAGCTTTCCTAATTGTTGGGGGATTCCTTTAGAGAAGGCATCTGTTGGTACACACCAGTTACCGTCCCTGCACCTGCCAGAACACAGTGTGGCTGGCAGGTGGGTGGGGATGAGAGATGGTGGTATAGCCACTAGCACAGGTGTACTCATCCTCCCCCAAACCCATGTCCTCCGGCCTAGCTTAGGCTGCTGTGCTGGAACTTCAGTCTTTCCTGTTGACGGTAATTAGAACCTTTCAGACTCAATTTCTTACATGAAAAATCCCAATTCACTTGAATTGTCTCCTTGATCCAGTTCACCTGGAGCTATTTAGTTCCTGCAGTTTGTTTGGAGGAGAAAACAAGCTTTTAAGCCTTCACATTCTGTGGTTGATAAGATCAACGTGCTGAAAATGTTAGCTGACTGAGCTTTGGAGCCAGACCGCCTGGGTTTGAATTCCAGTTCTACCTCTTATGCGTGCACAATCGGAGTTTTTGTGTCTGTGAAATGGAGATAGCAATAGTGAAGATTAGATGAGGTAGTACACGTAAAACCATTAGAAGAACAGTGCCTGGCCCACCATAGGTGTACAATAAATGTTAGCTGTTAACATTATGATTATTATTAAACCCCTCCAGCCATCAGTCCCCCCTCTTTTCCTCCCAGCCTAGGATCTCGCTCTGGGAAGACAGGTCCCCTTCCTGTCCCCCAGACTCTGGGCCCTTCTCTCCTTGCTCACTAGGTTATTTTATCCCTCCAGACTTCCATGTTCTTATCTGTGAAATGGGACCAAGAATAAATGACTTTAACTCTGAAAAGTAGGTATGATAATTCCCATTTTACAGATAAGAAACTAAGATTTAGTGAGATTAAACAATTCACCCAAGGTTACATACCTGATAAATTGCAGAGCCAAGGTTTGAACCCTAGCCTGTGGGGCAGGAAGGTGACAGCTCCCAAATACTCATCAGTTTTCTCATTTACAAGTCTTTTTTTTTTTTTTTAAATGACCGGTAAGGGGATCTCAACCCTTGGCTTGGTGTTGTCAGCACCACACTCAGCCAGTGAGCAAACCAGCCATCCCATATATGGGATCCGAACCCGCGGCCTTGGTGCTATCAACACCGCACTCTACCGAGTGAGCCACAGGCCGGCCCCCTCATTTACAAGTCTTACCTCTCGGTATTTACCCAGTACCCACTCTACATCATCCAAGGAATGTCTCCAAGTGGCAGATGCCTCTCCCTTGAAATCATCTGACTTGATATTATCTGGCCACTACTTTAATAGAACTAGAACTGCTCTCTTCCACAATTAAGTCGTTTATCTGCTTGCACTATCATTAATCTCTTTATCTGACTACCTTCTTCACTTAACATTTGGGAGAGTCAAGTTCTAGAAGTGGTGAGCAGAACATATTCTGGTTTTAGTATTTTTAAGAGCTTTTTGTTGCATTAGAGAAGTTCAAATTGATTTTTGTAAGTCATTCTTCTGTACTTGAGAAGCAAGTATTTGAAGTACATGAGTTAAAGTAACATCAAGAACCTAAAGAAGCCCTATGGTCTGGAAACCAGGTGGCTAAAATTGACTCCTAGCATTGTGTTTCTTGATTAAATATGGTGGTTACACCTCTCTCTCGCTGTTTCTCTCCATGTCATTTTTCATCACCCCACCCCCCCAGAATGGTATCAGATATATCCACCAAAGTTTAGCCTAGAAAAGCACTGATAACTCAAAGATAGAACTTCCCTTTATTTATTCTCTGCCAGAAATCACTCCTGTCTCTGCATGTGGAGTTCTGGAGAGAGAATAAAATGGAAACACATTAGATTCAGTGGCTTTTCTCCCTTCCCTTTGCCTCTCTTGCTCCTCACCCCAAATCTGCGAGACCATGAGTGGCTATTACTCCCTCCCTTGAAGAACAAGACCTCCTGCCAGACTGTGCCCGAGGTCAGGCAAGTGAGGAGAGGAAAGTGTACACCTCATTGTGGCTAAGACAAAGGCCACAAAAGCCATCTTGATCCTTTGACCTACAGTGATGCTGAGTCTGTTCCTTTGGTGTCCCTGACTTCGGCAGTGTGGTTAGTCTAACTCTCTGCCCCGACCTTGAATTGAGCTTTGATGAAAAAGCAGTAGGAACCCAGGCCTGTCCCTGGAGATGTGGGGTTTTTGTCTTGGAAAAGCATCAACCAAACTAGCAGGGGCAGGAGATCTGGATTCCTGTGGCTTGGGCTAACTTAGTCCAAAGAAACCAAGTGCCTATGATCATCATCTTCATTCCCCCAAAGTAGCCATGCCCTCTGGATTCCCTTCTCTCACTCATCCTCCTCCCAGTTAGGGTGGCGTGGGGTGGATTGCTCTTGCTTTACCATTAGCATGTCCGTCCATGTTTGAGATGCTTTGGTATATGGGAATACTTGCAGATTGCTGCTCCTTGGCTGATCTAAAATCTTTTGGCTGTAGCACATGCAGTAACAAAACAACTTTTAAGCATCAGTGGATTTTCTTTCCCCTGGGATCCTATAAACCTCTCTGAGATCTGCCTTTCAGTTTTCTGCTGGACCACAGAGACTTGTCCTGGCTTATCTCTCCCAAAGCACTGCTTCTGTATATCAGGAATCATTTGGTTGCCTTTATTGTTTGTCTTGGACCTTTGTCTTGGCTTCCTATAATAAGATGACCAGATTTGTGTGCAGGCATCCAAAAGAAGCCAGCCTGCTGCAATACTGGATGACAGAATAATAAGGTCTGTGGGTTTCTATGCTATACTCTTCTCCTCCATACACTGCAAGACTGTTTGCCTTAGTACTGCTTCCAGATATTCTGTAGATGGTCTTTAAGCATGTGGTAGTGAATGCTACCATGCCAGAGGGTTTCAGCAAATTTACCCAGCTTTGAAATGACTCATTCTTCCAGATTTTTATATACAAGGAAAACCAAACTAAGAAGGCTGATAGAGGTACCTCTCTTGTTTCCTCTGTTTCCCTGATCATTTCTCAAACCATTTGACCTTTGGTCAAAACGTTGTACCTGGGTGTTTTCTACCCAGTAAAAGCTTTGTAGAAATATTGATCTTAAAATCTCAGCCCTGGAGGTTAGTGGCTAGCACACCCTCAACTGACTCACCTTTAAAGGAGTAGCTCTACCAGGACTAGGTCTGAAACCCATGAAATGACCCAAAAAAAGAGCAGTGATTTGAAAAGCAGAGACCTAATGTGTTGCTCTCCATTTCCACTGCAGATTTGCTGACCATGAAAGAATATCATTGTTTGCTGCAATTACTGTGCCCGGATTTCCCGCTGGAGCTCACTCAGAAAGCAGCCAGGTACGTTTCCTGGACTCTTGAAACCAACTCAGCTCCCAGGCTTCTTAGAGAAAACTGAAATTTATGAAAATGAAAAAAACCATTAAGGAAGAAATTGGTATTTGGAGAGGGGTCTGTTTGGGATTTGCCCCCAAACATAATACTTTCTGCATTTCCAAAGGGAAGCTAAATGATCCTTTGTGGTTTCTGTGGGGAGCCGCAGGGTCTGAAGATAGAGTTGGAGGTGGAGAGATGAGGAGGCAAAACAAACCCCAACACACACACACACCTCTAGAGGATATTCTTGGAAAAGAGGGGACAAGAGTTGGCAGTGACTCGGAATGAGAAGAGTTGAGATTGGAGACCAGAAGGGCTTGAAGGTGATAAAGCCCCAGTTGAGGGAAGGGCAAATTGTATTATTTATGCTAAAAGGTTTTCAAGATTAATCCAGAAGCAGGACTTTGCAGAAATAGTTAGAAGCCCCTTATTCTATGATTGGTTTCACTGTCATTCATATTTTTTAACTAAATGAGGTAGTTGGACCATGCCTCAGTTAACTTTTACTTATTTAATACAAAATCTGAGCTAGGGTTGCTAATGGAAGTATAGCAAAAATTTTGTTTTCTGAAAAATTCTCTGCTTTCCTAAGTCATATTGAATGCATTTACCTTCATTGTTCCATTTAATTTTTCCTTTTTTTTTTTTTTTTTGCAGCTAGCCAGTAAGGGCATCTGAACCCTTGACCTTGGTGTTATAACACTGCTCTCTAATCATTTAAATTTATTTACCTTAATTATCTCACTTAATCCTTATAAGGGATTACTTCCCTTTACAGTGACCTTTTGTGGTTTCTATAAGGAGCCTCAAGGTAGAAATGGAGGGTGTTTAGAGGGTGGTGAGTCATCACAAGGACCAGAGCTTGGCCCGTCCCATGGGAAGTGTTTGGAGCACAGGTGGTGGGGGAGATGGGCCCACTGGGGGAACACTGCGGCACAGAAAGTACAGCTGATCTGCCCCCCAATCAGTGCAGGACCACTCAGAGGAGAATACAACACACACACACACACACACACACACACACACACACACACGAGTTACTTCCCATGTCACTGAAGAGGAAACAGGCTCAGAGAGGTTAATTGTGTTGCCTGAATTTACTGATAGCTTGAAACTAGCAGTGGCATGACTTGAACCCAAGTCTGCCTGAATCCAGAGGCAGAGAAGCAAGAGCATGAGACTCTCAGTCTCCTCACACTCCTGTCTCCCTGTGTCATTCTGCTTGGTGGTTTGAACCACTGAAACCCCAACTGCTCCCACCACCCCAGCTTGGGAAGCCAGGGTCCTAACTGTGGTGGCTCGCTGGTCATTGTTGGGCTGGTAGCATGTGTCGGGGGGGGCATGGTTGAGGCCCTCAGTCCCCCCACTGCCCCGGCACAGGAGAGCCAGGGGTGCTTCCTGCAGTGGCTTGGTGGTCATTGCTGGGCTGGTTGTGTGTGCTGGGGGGATGTGGCCAAGGCCCAAAGCCCCCCCACCCTTGGACTGTTGTGGGTGTCGGGGGCATGGCTGAGGCCTCTGACTCTCCCCCCTTTCTGGCTTGGTAGCCCAGAGAATTTCCAGTCCTTCTAGGTGTTATAGGTATTCTTTGGTGAAATGAGACCTTTACCAGTTAATATCAAACTTTGTCTCTGGTTGTGGGTACTTTGGTTTTTCTCTCAGTTCTGTGTTGGATTATTTGTTGTTCCCACCACTTAAACTTTACACTGGAACTAATTTGTTGTCCTTTGCTTACTTCTAAAATGGGGTAACTTCCTATGGCGACCAGTACTTGAGCTCTGTGGTTGAGCTAAATTGCTGCTTTGCTCATTCCCTAGGGAAGGCTTTTCGTGCAGCTCAGGTTTTAATGGTTGACTTTGTAGGTACTTCTGGATCTAGAGAAATCTGGTGTACCTGGTTTACGCAGAAACTCTGGTCTGGGCCTGAGTATTTTCATCAAACTGCACCCCATGCAATTCTGTATTCTCCTCTGAGTGGTCCTGCACTGATTGGGGGGCAGATCAGCTGTACTTTCTGTGCCGCAGTGTTCCCCCAGTGGGCCCATCTCCCCCACCACCTGTGCTCCAAACACTTCCCATGGGACGGGCCAAGCTCTGGTCCTTGTGATGACTCACCAGCCTCTGAGTGGCTCCTTTTTTTCAGTTGTTGTGGCTCCTTGCCCCTGTGTGGGTCCACAGGAACCCTATTAGTGGTCTTACTGGCCTGGGGGCCACCAAGGCCCTCTTCTCCCCTGCAGGCTCCAAGCAACTTCGTCTGAAGGGCACAGCAGCAGCTTTTGCTGTCTCCTGCTCTGTGTGCTCAGCAGCTCCAGCCTTAAAGCAGCCAGGGCTCAAAACGGTCAGAGCGGTTTTTTCTTTCTCTCATCATGGCTTCTCCTGCCTTCATGCACTCTGTAGGTCTCTCCTCCTCTTCCCCTGAGCTCTAGAGGCCCCACCTTGGCTGTCATTGCTTTTTTATAGTTGTAAATTCTTGATTTGTGGGAGAGAGTGACGCTGGGGGCCATCTATTCCACCATCTTGACTGGAAGTTTGCGCTCAGATCATTTTAAGGAAGATTCAGCCCCAACACTTTTGGGGAAAAATTCAGCATTCTTAAAGACTGGACTTAACTCTCTCTAACTAGAGAGTTCCTAAATAAAGAAAAGGAACCATAAGTATGAGTGTGTATGCTCCAGGAGGGCAAGTGGGATCTACACGAATCTCGTTTGCTGCTGAATCACTATCACTTAGCATAGTGCCAAGATACATGCTAGACACTCTGTAAATGTCTGCTGGATGTATGAACACATGAATGAATGTATGAATGAGTGTTCCTTGTCTGGCATTTTACATGGTACTAATAGTCCATGGTTTTAAGTAACTCTAAGAACAATAGTCAGCAACTATATCCTGTGTTCATTTCTTCATTCATTTATTCATCAAATATTTATTTTTTAACAGCTTTTAGATAAATAATTTTTTAACAATTCACATATCATACACCACTCATTTAAAATAAAATTTAGAGGGCTGGCTCATGGTAACACCAAGGCCACGGGTTCAGATCCCTATATAGGGATGGCCGGTTGGCTCACTTGGGAGAGTGTGGTGCTGACAACACCAAGTCAAGGGTTAAGATCCCCTTGCTGGTCATCTTTAAAAAAAAAAAAAATTTAGTGGCTTTTGGTATATTTCTGGAGTTGAGCACCCATTATCACAATCAATTTTAGAGCATTTTCATTACCCTAAAAAGAAATCCTGCATTCCTTAGCCATTACTCCCCAATCCCCCCATACTCCCCAGCCCTAGACAACCACTAACCTACCTTCTGTCTCTATAGATTTGCCTATTCTGGTCATTTCAAATAAATGGAATCATATAATATGTGGCCTTTTCTGAGTGACTTCTTTCACTTAGCATAATGTTTTCAAGGTTCATCTATGTTGTAGCATATATCAGTACTTCATTTTGCAAAATATTTCTTGAATACTGATTAGGGTTTTTTTTTATTTGGGGGGTTTTTTTGCTGGCTGGCCGGTATGGGGAACCAAACCTTTGACCTTGGTGTTACAAGGCTACACTCTAACCAGCTTAGCTAACCATCCAGCCCCGAATACTGATTTTGTGCCAGGAGCTATTCTGCACACTGGAGATACAGTCATGAATAAGATATAGTTCCTGCCCTTCAAGAAACTTGACATTTAATTTAGAAGGGTATTTTCAGTCTCCTTCCTCCTCATTCCTGAAGGGTATGTGGAGAGCTTATGGGGGTGAGCCTCCTTTGTGATTCTTAGCCCGCAGCAGTCACAGCTTTGCATTCACTCCACCCATCTTCCCTGACCCTTCCAAACAATTAATAGATGTAAGCACTGCAAGATTTGAGTATAAGTGACAGAATCCTCTAAGAACCACGAATTCTTGATTCCGAGGTATAATTGCACTTGGTACAACTATTGATACCAAGGGGCTTCTGGAGTGGTATTCCTCTGTTTGTGGCCAGAAGCTTACCCAGTCCTCCCCTGAAGGCCTGCTGTTTGGTGGACATCTCAGACCTTTCAGTTTGGCAGGGTAGAAGCCACTCCGTGTCAATAGCAGTGGAGGGCATAATAGAAATGCAAATATAGACAACAGGAGGGCCTTGGGTAATCTAGAGGGTACTGGCTACAAGGTTAGAAGTGAATTCAGAATTGGTGGAAGTTTGTTTTCTCTCCTAATTTCTGTATGAGTATCAGGCTTCTGTGTCAACACCACCCTCTCAATGCCATTCTTTCCCTACTCCTCTCCAGCTAGTGTGTATGTAGAAAAATTGTATATATCCCAGAAAGTGCCCTCATTTTGTCCTGAAAGTCAGGATCCCATCTTCCACACATACCCAGGCATCTGACCAGATCACAAATGAGGGTGGTTAAGCATCCACGGCAGTTACTATTGCTAGAAGAGGAACTACCCTCTCCCATCTCACTGCTGGGTTTAGTTTATCCAGGGCCCTGAGGTTTGGGGACAGGCTGCAGAAGGAGGCTCTAGTCTGTGATGATGTGTGCATAAAAGAATGTAATCCACAGGCAGCTGTAAACCAGAGCCTGTTCAGCCGCATGGCATCTCCACGCACGCCTGCCTTATGTGCTGCAAGCATCATGGCCAGTCTCCGGGGCAGCAGGTGTGAGCTGGAAACACAGAAAAGGAAAGAGCAAACAGACCCCATGACAGCGGCCCCAGCCAGAGATCCCCTCCACCTCACACATTCCTGCAGCAGTGGAAGTAGTTAAGTAATTTTATCCCTAAGTGATCATCATAGCATTTCTGTCTCTCCATCCTCCGTGGACTGGGAAGCTTACCCAATGGTTAAGAGCATGCAATTGGAGCTAGACTTCTGGAATTCAAATCCTGGTTTCAGGGCTGGCCCGTGGCTCACTTGGGAGAGTGTGCTGCTAATAACACCAAGTCAAGGGTTAAGATCCCCTTACCGGTCATCTTTTAAAAAACAAACAA